TGCCATTTTCTTGGATCTGAAGAAGGCCTTCGAAACGGTTGATAGTCAGATACTGATTGAGGAAATGGAAGCGATTGGTATTGAAATGGATAAGATCACAATAGTAGTAAATGTTTTATCTTCCGCTTTTGTTATTGGATTTTGAGTGCCACAGAGGAGTGTCCTTAGGACCTCTTTTGTATCTGATTTATATCAATAGTATGAACTATTTCCATGAATGTGATTTTCTTAACTTTTATGTGAAATGAAACGTGATATAGCTAAAACTGAGGCAATGATAATAACTATACCTGGCATTCGGTGTTTACGATTTCTCAATAAGTTACCATGTTATTGTGTTCGTTTTCTGTGTTATATCGATAATATAGGAAGTTATAAAAAAACATGAGAAAATCAATAGATGAACTTCATCGATGATGCCACCATACTCTTAGCATTCAATTATTGGTATCCAATTGTAGCTTTTCAACTATATCATTAAGAACTAAATTAATATTCCTCAGGGATAATTACACCCTACAAATAAACCCCTTCTCTGGAGTTTGCAACGAGGAACATATGAGCTATTTCAAATTCATCGGACGTGTCGCAGGAATGGCTGTCTACCATGGAAAACTACTAGATGGTGAGTGCATACGGAATCAAAGCTTTCTTTTGAAAAATTATCTTTTTTTTTTTCATTTCATAGCCTTTTTCATCAGACCTTTTTATAAAATGATGCTGTCAAAACAGATCGATCTGAAAGATATGGAATCAGTAGATTCGGAATACTACAAGTCGCTTTTGTGGATAAAGGAGAATGATCCATCCGATTTAGATCTGACATTTTCGGTTGATGAAGAATCTTTCGGACACACGTCGGTACATGAACTGATTGAAGGGGGGGCTGACATTCCTTTGGACAATTCCAATAAGGATAAGTATATAGCGTGAGTAAGATTTAGAATGTTACTATTTTATTGATTATAGGTTGAAGATTTCATGTGGACCATTTTTTTTTGTCGTCTTCTCTGTGTAGATATAATTAGTGTCAGTTGTCATACGTATTCGATGTTTGTATTGTCCATTCTAGAACCTTTTTATTTTGTTGAAATAACTCCATGCAAAATCAACATTAATGACAAATATACAAAGTAGCCAACTCAGAAAATACACATGTTCCAAAAGAATTTCTTATTCAGTATGGTCCATTGAGAAAAATTTTGTAAAGCAAATCATGAGCCCTTTTCATTTATAACTCTATGAACTTTCTCTCTTATGTGACGGAGGCCTAAATATCACATCAATCGACAATGATTGCGGCCCCAGAACTGATCCCTGAGGAGCACCTAGCTCAAAATCTAGTATTAATGTCACCTCATTAAAATTGTAGTCAGAAAGTACATCAATGGGAAAATATTCAACAATAATTTGTTTTTATTATCAATCCCAATACCATACATAAGTTTGAAAAAGCTAATATGAAGTATAACTAATCAAA